CCTGCGATACTTAAGATAATGACATTCATGTTGCAAGTTATATCTGATTGAGCTTTACTTGGTATGCATGGAGGATTAGAATAGGCAACACCTCACTTGTTACTGTTCCTAAATCATCAAATGCTGGCAATTTAGGAATCCGTTCTACTGCCACCTACTTAAAATGCTGTTACATACTCACCGGACACTAGACTAGAACTACTTATTGCAACGTGCCAAACTTTGCCCAATAGGCCTAATAAGATCAATTAATTGCATTTATTTTGACCTCAAGGTCAATCAGAAGAGGTCTTTTATTGTTTAACTATACATTTAATTATATCCAATCACTGAACTTGAAAAAAAAAAAATAAGCCTCCTTTACATGTGGATTTAATGAGGCTCACAGAGGATGCTGTTCCCTTCTGAGCAGCTGGAAAGCTTGCCTGTCCCTGTGCACTGTCCGTTATCATTTGTTAATATCAGTAATTATGATGTTTTGCATTTAGAAATCAGATCACCCCTTTGCTGTATGCGTCGTGCTTTCAGCAACTTTCCTCAAAATTGATACTGAATATTCCTTGCAGTTAACAATATAGAACAAAGGGTAACAGGAGATCAAAGCCCTTCAACAAAATGGTGTTACCCATGATCAGCATAAGTAGAAAATCTCATTTTCACTTAGTGATAGAGCTTAGGAATGGCTTCATCATTTTGGAGGGAAAAGGGTGTGGGTAGGATCGTGTATTTTTGTGCCACTTATGAATCCAGTACTTAGGAGCTCTTTTGCGTGCCCTTCCTTGTTCCAGGCTGCACTGTGGGAACTTAACAAGGGAACTGCTTGCTGAATCCTCAGGGATAGCCGAGACGTCAAGGTTATCTTTTTCAGTTCAGCCTAGCCTGAGCCTTAGCACCACTGGTGTGACAGCGCACGGTAGCACCTCACCGGGCCTTTGCCTGGTCTCGTTTTCTGAAACGTGTTTGGATGGTTATGAAGGGCTTGCAGACCTTACGAAGATAGTGCTGCAGAAAGGGGGTGTTCAGTTTCCTTCAGTCCAGGCGCACGTTGACATGACTGTGAAACACACTCCATCAGACCCTCAGAGAGCACTGCTCCCCCCTGCTCTGGGCCCCACGCTTGTATCCTGCAGAGTCTTAAGTGTAAACACTCTCCAAGTTGCTGTCTTTTTTTTTTTTTTTTTTATCAACGTCCACTGACAAAATATTACCTTCCCCGTGCAAATACTCTGGTTAGTTCCATGTAGTTGTAGTTTCACAAATGAACAAAAAAGGGTTTTGACTAAAATGTCTGACAGTATGGCGCTCTTTTAAGACTTTTTGTTTTGTTATTCTGTAACGGTTAGAGTGGAATTACGTCAGTGTGCAAGAGGATGAGGGGAAATAAAGGATGCTAATTCTCTTTTTATTCTGATGGGTCTCCTGAAATAGTTCAATAAAACCTTTACTCTAAACACCTTCCTTCATGATACTGTTCAAGAAAATAAAGAATGAGTGAGGGACATCAAGGAATCCGCCAATGACTGGAGACAGGATTTTCTTTACATTGTCTAATAGACTCGTTTATTATTTTAAGCTGGTAAAAAGAGACTTATGATTCGTGTTGAAGAAAGAGTTATTTGTGCTTGATACATCGAAGACACTGTTCAAAAGCAGTTTGTCCTTATAAAAGGATGACCCCTGTAGTAATTCTTAGGCAAGGAGGGACAAATTCAACCAACAAAAAGCACATCTCGCCCCAAGTTCCCCATGATTTCTCCACATATAGCAAAAAAATACACATCAGCAATTTATTTGAACATGCACATCTGTGAGTAGCACAGTTCTAGGCTACTCAGGAAACAAAAGGGAGAATATCAGCATTACCTAAGTAAAAAAAGAGAGGTGAATTACACCGTTTTAATTGTCTTTAAAAACACGGATAAGAGGAGTAATTAAAATATAGTCCTAAATAGTACTAGCTAATGTAGATTACATAAGTATACAATATGATTTAACGAATAGTGCTCTGACAATCAATAAACCACCAGTTCTAGTAAACAAGGCCCAGACCAATTGCTGAGAAAAAGTTAGATTCGGATGTAACAAACGTTACTTTTCTTTCAGTACTGAACGCAAAACACGCATCAAGTGTGAAGACAGCCTTCTAAAAAAGGCGGCTCTATCAAAGCAAGGAGGCCCTTTCCTTTTGCATTTTTATAATTTTTGAATTCTATTTTTGACATATACTTTCTCTACTTTTCCTCCCCTGAGCACTAATTTATCCAAAAAAAAAAAAAAAAAAAAAGATTTCAAGGTGCACGTTGTACATTCTTACTGTTATACCTTTTTCATCTCTTTCTGGAAGAGAGTATTACAATCAGCATTATAATTTTCATTCCTTTTCTCTGGATATCGTTTTCACATACATGTATTTCAAAATCATAGTGTTGACTGGGAAAAGAAATCTACATATGAGAGCGATGTCATCATACACTTCCAGTTGTGCTGTGTGTCTTTCCCATCCCTTCTCCCCTTTCCCTGTAAAGAGCTGTAAAAAATTTAAGGCAGATGAGGTATATTGCTGAAGGAAAAAGTTATTTTTGAAAAAAAAAACCTCAAAAAAAACTTTTCTTCTGCCCTTCTACTCAAGAAAGACTACTCAACTACAAATCTAGTGCTAGAAAAAGCAGGAAAGACACCGTTTGCATGTACCATACTATGTCTTCTATTTCTAGAATGGCTTTTTGTTAATTTAATTTTAATAGAAAAAATAAGCACCTTAAGCTATGAACAAGAAAAGAACTTCATTATCAGTGAGTCTAGAATCCAAACGGAATTAAGAACACTCACTCCCAACTCTTTCATTCATTCTCACAAAGGCCAATGCTACTGATTAGAGTTGTAAAGTGCTGTACTGAGTATAAACACTTGTATACACTGCAGACACTGAAAAATAACCCTCAAGCACATTGTGTCATAGTTCCAAAAATATATTTACAGTCTATTACAAAGATTACAAATGGAAGTGTCTAGGTGACTATATTATGCTAATTAAGCTTATTTTACAGATTATTTTTCCTTAGGGACAAAAAACATTTTAGTGAAATTAAAATGATTTCTCTAGTCAATCAAAAAAATAAATTAAAATATCAAATAACACTGTACAGTGACTTAAAAGGGGGGGGAGGGGTGGGGAGGGGTGAGGAGGGGTTTGGGAAGCAATCCATTTGAAATGTTTCTATAGCCATCTTTGGTCCTAAATGTGGGAAAACACATTATGTAGCACTGAAAATACCTGTTCTTTTGTGATGCTCTGCAAGTAAAATAGAAAAATATAGTGCATTTTCAATGTATTCAGAGCCCACTACAGAGAAATGTGTGTACAAAACAAGACAGTATAAATAAAATTTACAAGTTTTACAAAGGAACATTTACAGGTTTTGTTTCTCGTGTTTGTTTGCTCGTGGCTGCCCACATTATCAAACAAGACCAATTGTGACCGATCCCTGGGATCTTCCTCTAGTAAAATCATTATAAACAGCCCAATTCTCTTTGGAAGTACAACAGCTCGATTCTGGGGTAGTTCATGATTTTCACAACTTTTGAAAGCAGTACTCACAATATGTATACATTCCTGAAATAGCTATAAAGACACATTTAATTATTGCTTGTGAAATTCTAACACGTAATCAAATAATATGGAGTAATAAATAAAGCTTAAAAAAACACACACAAAAGGTCAGATCCTTCACCTCTTTCTTCCATGGTCAAAAGTATTCTTTCACTTAGGTTTCTCGTATCAGTGTTCACCAATAAAATAATTTTTCTTTTCTGTAACTGCACTGCTGATATCCTGTGTAGCAACTTTGTTTTGCAAGGTGAAAATTGTGAACTGCCCCTTGTGTCATGCTTCAGAGTTCTAATATAAAACGTAATTCTTTCCTCTTGTGTTTGGACTGCATTAAACAGAACAGGATATAAAATGTAGGCCAACTATTTCTCCTAAATTCCCTAATGGCATGATATTGAAAAAAAAAAAATCTTCATGTGCTCACACTATTTAGATAACACTGGATAGTTTTTGCTCTCAGAGATTGCCTTCACCAAGATTCTTTAGGTGAAGTGTGTCTCATACCTTTTTTACCATCAAAATCCTATAATTTGAGTTTTGTGATTTTTATTTTTATTTTTTTTAGTAAATTCTGTCTACTAAAATCCCTCCATAAACAATCAGTTAAAAGTGCCTTATAGTATTTATGGATCATTATTGCTTTTTTTCATTGAAAAGATAGTGTTGACTGCTCTTTACAAAAAAAAAAAAAAATCTTTTAAAAAAATATCAGCACTCTTGGCAACTTGAATTTCCTTGACTACCTGCCAATTAGCAAACCATATCAAAACAGCACTGATTAAACAAATAAAACTGCACAGAAAAGGATACCAATGTACAGATAGAGATATCTATCATCTTGCTATGTTTTGTTTTTTTAAGTTTGAAATTCTTTCAAAAGTACCCAGTGTAGTAATATGTCATAGATAACACTAAAAAGGTCCAAAGCTATAAACAACTTTCTAAAACAAAGTCCTTATGGAGAATAAAAGATGATTTTAAAAAGGAATAGTCTGAAATCACATATTTAAGGAAAATATTTCATTGATTTTAACAATAAGATCATGATTTTATTTGACAAATATATTCTTTCTTAAATTCTTTATGTACATTTTAAAAAGTCTATAAGATAAAAAGGAGGTTAGAGAGCTCAAGGTGTTTGGATGTTTCAGGTAGTACTTTGTTTATTGTCACTGCTGTTTTCCTGGCCACCAGCGGTGGATCCTAAATTCCCTTTTTATATACTCTGGTGGCACTTAGGAGTTCAAGTCTATAGGTGCTTCTTAAATCTCAGCTTCACTGTAGGAAGGACCCAGGACATCAACTGTCTTCTAGCAGCATTCTACGCACACACTGAAGGCCAGCACTGTTCTCTCAGTCCACTCTCTCCCTCAGAAGGGAGAAACGCTTATCACACTTGGATTCCGGTTCCGTGTAAATGTAGCATTTGTGCTCTCATAGTCTGAATGCTGCTCATGATTTTCTTTTGATGGCCAACCAGTGTGATCCCTAAACTCATCACGTCCCTGAAAAAGACAAATGCACTTTTTATTAGGTACCTTGCCAAGAATGTATTTGATGCTAGCCTGTCATCAACCCTTTAATTAAATAATCTGTGTATCTAATCGTAGAGCCCTTGGGTATCATGATCATGTTCCTGCAGTGGGTCACATTGGCCGCGGCCTCACCATTCTCCTCTGTGAAAACCTAACCATTAGCTCAGCTCTCAATCTGCCAGGATACATTACTTCCAGAGTGATTTGAAATTTTATATAAGAAATGATCAGTCTTAGAATTATTATTAATTTAAGGTCAGATTAGGAAATGTTATTTGAGATGTTGTATTCTTGAACTTAAGTTTAAAAATGTTAATTATTAAAGTAAAATGTCATATGAATAGAGATACTTCTGGGCTCCAGTAGATCAAGATTTGTCAATGGTCATAAAAAAGTTTATACTAAGTTTAATTATATAGTAATGCTAAGCACATTATTGGTTGTATACTTACTTTCAGTTCAACCATTTGACTACCTTTCAGAAATAAATATTATTTAAAGAGTACAATACCCATTACCCATGTTTAATATCTTAAGTCTGACATAAACTTAACTAGGTCTGTGTATGTACTTTTACCTTTGCAAAAAACAATTAGGATTGAGCTTAGGTATTCAAGCACCTAAAATATAGCAATATGACAACACTGCATTATTTCATAGCAGTGGTTTAATAAGGCTGAGAGACACAGTCTTCAGGGTAATTGGTAACTTTGGGGAAACAGGCATAATTATGCCAGCTCTACCCACGAGGTGATGGGCAGAAAACTTGACCAGGTGGCATATACATGCTTAAATTCATGTACACTCCATTTTCTGACATGTCAGAAAGCAGTATCTGATTGATGGCCCTCATCTCATCTTAAAAATGTAAAACCCTTCCACATAACAGCATGTAAAATGGAGCCCTCTAATAAAACCTTCAAGATTATTTCCCGTTTTTAAAGCATTTTCTTCTATCAGAATTTTTTATTTAACATATCTATATATTTACTAGTGATAGTATTACAGATGTCTCCCAGTTCCCCTGCCCCCAACCAGGTCTTCACCACACTGTGGCCCATTTTCAAACACACTGTCTGACTGACAGGAATTGCATCACTCATAAGTGTTGTGCAGCAGCCAAGGAAGCTAACTTTGGGGTACATTAATAGATTTCATAAGGCCACATAATCAGTGATGGAGCCAAAATAGAAAATTAATTTTTAGTTCCAGGTCATAGCCATTTCAAAGTTGTTTTACCCAGTGATTCTTAAGGTTAAAAAATTTGATGCAATTAATCACAGACTTTCCAAAAGGTAAGTTAAAGTAAGCTCTTAGTTACAGTAAATGAAATTAAGCTTCCTTTGACCTCTTCAGAAAACAATCTTATTGAATGTCTCAATGCCTCTTGGTATTGGGTTTGAAATTTTGAGATTCTTAATGTTGGACACAAATGTGGAAAAAGACTTCCTTAGTTGCAATAAGGAAGGTTAGGAACTTAAATGATACAGTGGTTAATGAAAAAGGAAGTCGCACTGAATAATGTTTAGAACACTGGCTATCGAGACAAATTACCTACCACTTAACTAGCTGAGCTAGTTGGGGGAAAATATTTCAGCTCACAGAGCCTTAGCCTGGATGTATGAGAAACTATGGACTCAAAACTGTTGCTGTGGGGTTAAAAAATGCTGTATGTTTGAAGGCCTATTTAGGATAATGGCTGGCACATAGTGAGTACTTATTAAAGAGATTCTTTTCTCCATTGTTTTGTAGTTCAGACATCTTTAACATACCTCTCTGCCTAAAGCTTGAATTATATGGTAAGTGCATTCCTAAATATAATTTAACAAGTTTAAGCTTACTCAATTGTCATTCTGGCAACTGATTCAAGGGAGTTGTAGCCAGCTGCTGTGAAGTTATCTTTATATCTTTCCATTTTAATAGCTTGTAGCCATTCTCCAACTGAGCAAAATGTAGTGAAGTCGGGAGTGTTTTGATCCAGAAGAGGGCTTATGGGCCTAGATAAGAAAAAAGACAAAACAAACAAAAACAGAAAAATACATTTTTTCCATGAACTATTAAGGAAAAAAGCTGTCTTATACAAAAATGAGGGCATATAGGATAAAAGTACACATTTTAATTGATATTAAAATAATATAAATGTAAAATGTAAATGTGTAAATATTAAAATAGATATACCAATGAAATATAATGCTTAAGGTTACCCAATTACTGCAGACTCCAAAATTTATTTATGTTTTATGACCACCAGACTGCATCGTCCATTCATTTTTAAAAGTACAGCCAGCAGTATCTGTGATCAGTACATATTTGTTCATTTGCTTCTCCAAAAGTAAGTGTGAGTAAAGGAAGCACATCTGACTGTGGACTGACTTGTTTAGACCATGAGGGTGCTGTTAAGAAGATTATGGACCACTGTACTGAGGGCACCCTTATGAGGCCGTGTGAGTTCACACACCTCCACAAGGGCCTGACTGACCTCCAGTGCAGACCAGAGCACTGGGCTTACCTGGCAGCTGAAGTTGAATAACTACTAGTATGCATCACAATGGAGGAAGTCAAGTTCAAAGAATGGCGTGTTCCAGACACTTTTTATTTTATTTTAATGTTTTTGTGTAACATGTTTCACTTTTTTAAAAATTGATTTATTGTCTAAAGTTTTACATATGTCTCCTTTTTCCCCACTAGACAGGCTCCCCCACCCCCAAATAAGACACTTTTTCACTGGTATATCTCTTTAATCATGTATTGAATTACTTTTACAAATGTTAATTTCAGAAACTCATTTTACATAACTCACAGCAAAACAATAAAATAGATAATATGTCACAAACTAGAGTACTAGCAAAACAAAGCCTAATAATAATAATAATAATAATAATAGAAATAGAAATGATTTGAAAATGTGAAATGTCATCCGATCACTAAATTCCAATTTATTTTTTTTCTAAATGACAACCACTGATATCTATCATAATTTTTAAGGAAAACACACATACAATAATAATTAGTAGGTCTCTTTAAATACCAATTCAATTGAGGGAAGCTGTCTGAAAATAAAAAAAATAAATAAAAACGGTAAACAATACATTTAATTAGGACTTATAATGTAAGACACAAGTGCATTGGCCAATGGGATGGGGCTGAGGAGATAAATGGTTCATGTGAGCATATTAATTTCTCCCAGGTTCCACTGCCTTAGGCGTTTCTTACCTACTGCAGGTTCCCAAGGGCGTTTTCAGACTGCTTGGGTTTCGAATCATTTTGTCCAGGATTCCAACTATCTGCTCGAACTTGGGCCTTTCCGAGCGTTCCTTCTGCCAGCAGTCCAGCATGAGCTGGTGCAGGCCCGCGGGGCAGTCCATGGGCGCCGGCAAGCGATAGCCCTCCTCTATCGCTTTTATAACCTACAGCCAGAAGGACATCACACACGTTACCGATGGAGGGTCACTTGTAATGAAAGGAATTGCCCAGCAGGCAAAGTGGCTCACCCTGATAAAAGTGAAGCACGCTACTTTGCAAAAGACTTCCCCCACCTTTCCATACATTCATAAATGCGAAGCCTGCTATTACAGGGGTGCACGAGCAGGATGCGATGACATTTTCTAGTCAATTCAGCAAAGAGGAACGGCAATTAAGTTCACTCAGGTGACAACAGATGGAAAATCTTTTAATGTCATCCCAGGAGTTTTCAAAAGGGAGTATATTATAAAGCTACTTTACTCGTATGTAGCAGTGCATGTACACATTTGCCTACAGATTTTTCAAGTTGCGAGAGGAAGTTCTGTTGCTCAACATTGAATCCTTACTAGTTTCACTTTTTGTGTTTTTAAACAAGATATCAAAATGGTGAACTATGACAGTAAATATTACTATTAAATGATATTAAGCTTATATGTTTGGGAAGTATAGCGGTGTTATATGCTGAAGCCTATTTGTACTGGTTCAGGAAGGTGGTTAAATCACCTTGCAACCCCAAGATTAGTGACCTCACAGCGCCAGACTGAAGTGGGCTTCGGGGAAGTGGGCAGCGGGTGGCAGTGGGAGAAAGGATTTCACTAGGAAATTGAAAAAGGTTACAAAGCAGGGCTTTCCCACTCAGAGTCCTGGTTGTTATACTTTTATCAGCATATCCCTGCCCATCTGTTATAGGAAAAGCATAATATGCTAATTAGAATGGACATTCTTGTGGACGACCTTTCGGATGAACCCGGGGCTGTGAGGGAAGTCCCAGGTGCCTGCCGGTGGCCAGAGGAAAGCCAGGGGAAAGAAGGCCTACTCTTGCACGAATTTTGTGCATCAGGCCTCTAGTTTATATATAACAGCCCGAACTGATATTTATAACAAGCTTTGAATGTTAATAAAAAATAAGCTTTTATAAACATTTGTATGGGGCAATCAGAAAGTCTAAAAGTTACTTATTGAGACTTATTTTTTATTTATATGGAATGAAAAAATAGATGCTAAAAATCAGAAATTGTTATAAATCTGAGCAATGCAAGAAACATAATAGAAAGGCAAAGAATACAAATAAGAATCTGCAAAACATTATAATATCCAAGGGGGATTAACAAGTCCTTTGATACTAAGGTAACAGTAGAAATATAAGAAAAACTGACAAACAAAAAAGGTGACCTGGAGTTTTTGAAGAAAATAACCCCAAAAGCTGGCTTTAAGAAATGCTGATAAAGTTAGTATTTGTAGGGGGTTATATCCTTAAGATGCTTGTTGACATTCAAGAATAGCGCATTCAAATGTAAAAAGGTTGTGGAATGGCATTAATAAAGTAGCTGACATCAACAGTTTTTAGAGAAAATCCTTTAGAAAAGAAACAGTCCACTTGAATTTAAGAAATATCCACATATGCAAATTAATGAAGCTTAAAAAGTAAATAGATTAACTTAATTACAGTATTTTTTGAAAAGTATTGTGAGTATACAATCCTCAACGCACATTGTCTCCTGATCATTATGTCTTATGTATCACTTTACTAGACATCTTCATCTGGACCTTCCATAGGCATCTCCTACTTCACATAAGCACACACACACACACACAAATGGTAACTCTGCAAAGATCACAAGAATATAACTATAGGGAAAATTAATAATAATAATAATAAAAAAACCTTTTAAATGCAAACAATTTCCTGTGGCTTTGTACAGTCTAGTGACAGGCCTACACTTGGACTCAAAAGTGCTCTATGTTAAACGACTTAGCTAGAAGTACTTTGGAAAACTGTGGTAAGTTATTTAAATAAATTATGCATCCTATATAATAAAAGCCTAATATGCTATGTGTCTGGCCATCCAATTGGCCGTTCAACCAATCAAAGCATAAGTGCTCTATGTTAAACGACTTAGATAGAAGTACTTTGGAAAATTGAGGTAAGTTATTTAAATAAATTATGCATCCTAATATAAAAATATACAAAAAAATAAAAGCCTAATATGCTATGTGTCTGGCCATCCAGTTGGCTGTTCAACCAATCAAAGCATAGTATGCTTATATGCTAAGGCAGCTCAACTGATCAGTATGACATGCACTGATCACCAGGGGCAGACACTCTGACTGGTAGGTTAGCTTGCTTCTGGGGTCTGGCTGATGGGGACTGAGCAAGATGGGCCAGACAACTCTCCCTTGCTGTCCAACGTCCCATGCCCTTCCTGGCCCTGATCATGCACCAGTGGGGTTCCTCAACCTGGCCTGCACCCTCTTGCAATCTGGGACCCATAGGAGATGGTAGAGAGCCGAAATGATCACTCGCTATGATACGCACTGACCACCAGGGAGCAGACATTCAATGCAGGAGCAGCCCCCTGGTGGTCAGTGCACTCCCACAGGGGGCGCACTGCTTAGGCGCAGGCCAGGCTAAAGGATGATCCCCTCCCCCACCCTGCCCCAAGTGCATGAATTTCATGCACAGGGCCTCTAGTAGTAGGTAAATAAAAAAACTTCTAAAACTTTATGTATTCAAAATAACCAAATAATAAACAATTGGGGGTTATTGTTTTCATAGGAGAAGGAGTGTTTGAAGTTGTTGGAATTTGAACAGTTTCTTTCTGATTTGAAAGGACGGCATTCCCATGTCCATAACATTGGTGCTGTCCTTATAATATCCTGGCCTGTTTCCCCGCTTGCAGTTTGTCTTCCTCCCATATCCAGAAATAATGCATGTGGAAGGAGCTTTCCTTATTTCTTTCCCTCTAAATAATATTTTAAAATGATAAGCCTAAATCTTGTCATGATCTTTCTGACACAATACTCTTCAACATCTCTCCCAGAGGTTTCTTTAGTTTTGAACCCGAGAAATTTTAAGTCTTTGTGCCAAAACACAGTATCATGCCCTTAAAGACTCTTATAAGAATAAAATAGTTAATAAACCTCTGTAGTTGTCTTATTGCATTATAGGAATGACATGATTCAAATCATTAAAGCAAAGAAACAACATGTATCATAATCCAAAATGACACTTGAAGCTCTCAAAGATACAGTGGTTTACACATTGTTAAAGGAGCAGCAGCAAAATATAACACTTAAAATAAGAGCTGCTCTAAACTGGGAATCCATTTGGGGTTCTGAGGGCCCCATTAACTATCGTGCCTTCACCTATCTGAGCACAAGATGCTTGCTGGGAACCTCGGCTTGACCAGAGCACAATTTGGCACACATACCTTGGTTTTGCCTGTCCAGATCTAGCCTTAGTATTTAATAAAAGTCAAAGAAAAAAAATTCATAAGTAATTTCTAATTCTATATAGGTCTCTGTGGAATAAGAAGAGACTAGGGTCAATGCCATAAAAATCCACTGGGATACAATAGGAGTATTTCGGCATGCACTCTAAAAAAAATACTTAGGAATAAACACAAAAGTTGCTCGTTGAGAAGTGTTTCAGTATGTTTATAGTATGACCAGTGTAATTAAGAGAAAAAGCAGCAACCATGATGACGGGCCTTATTCACTCAACCTGGGGTATAACATGATTGGCTTCTGTTCTCTGCTCGTGCCCTCACATAACATAACCCACATTTTACACAATTCAATAGTTCAGACCCCACTAACATAACCCACATAACATAACCCACATTTTACACAATTCAATAGTTCAGACCCCACTTAAGGGATTATGGCAAAGTTAAAAAAAATCACAATTTTGTTTCTACATTAATATAAAAAACCCACAAAGACATAAATTAGTCGTGGCTTTAAAAAAAAATTGAGGACTCACAATTTAGTTGAAAATAAATTTAGTTACCATGTATTATATTTTCAAAGCACTTAAGAGTTCTAAAACGAAACACCTTAAGAATTTATCTTTATGCCCCATATATTTATGGAAGCCTATTCTTCATTATCCTTATGACCATTTGCTAGTAAAATTAAAAATGCATTGGCCTAACTCAAAGAAAAAAAAAAAAAAACCTAGTTGAGTACTATGCACAGAAAAACAATCAAATCTGTATAATGAAGAATTTCAAATAAGAGTAAAACTTTTATTCAAATTAAGACATAAATTCAATGAAACGCTAGCTTCTGTGAGTGCTGATTATAAGTATTTTCAATTTCTATAATATCTATTACATTTGACTGCATTTTACATATATAAATATTTTTTTCTCTGAAAGGCCATTATGGAAAGGGCTATAAATCTGCAGACTTTATTCTTTAAAAAGAATGAAAATTTGCAACTTATTTAGGATGATCTTTGATTTTAATAGCAAATAACAAGATTCTAACTGCTTCCATTTGGCGAAAATTCAAGAAAGTTATAAGTTCACAAAAATACAATGAGCATTCCTACAAGTGTTCATTAAGTCATAAAGCATTGGGTGTGGGTGTCATTATACCTATGCGTGTTATCTGTTCCCAAGTTTTTCTTGCTCACACATGTGTAGAGTGTAACTAAAGCTCCCCAGCAAGGGAACTCCCTACCTCACTGACTTCTGCAGTAGCCCTTTCCTTTTTCTTCAGCGCGATCACAGAAACCTCCCTTTATTCAGCATGCAGCCCGGAATTTTGTGAACTTGCTTATAAACATAACCATCAATTTACTGCTTATTTTCATGGCATCTTATTAAAGACTTTCATAATCTCAAGCATTTGATAGTTGGGGGCTTTCTACATCCTGACAAAATTTTAGCAACTAAACTTAAACACTATAAAGTGAGTTGATTCACTTAATAAATCAATTTAGGCTAATTAAAAAAGGTAATATATCTGAAGATCTGGTGAAGGCAAACTTCCCAGAAAAATACAATATATTCTCTGATACACAGGATTTCCATATGCATGAGGGGTTTTAGAGATCTCAACCCTCTCCATGAATTCCTAGCAGAGACTACAAGTAAAAAAAAAAAAAAAAAAAAAAAAAAAAAAAAAAAAAAAAAAAAAGCTTTTAGTTAGAGAATGCTTTTACCAGATTAGAATTTTAAAATATTCAGTTTTTTCACCATTTGTGTATTGAAGATTGTACATATATATAGGTAATCCCCCCAAAAGGTATACACACTTTAAAAACAGCTGATAACTCAATTTTTACTCCTTTGCAGGTTTAACTGGTTTGAAATAATGGGTGAAGCCAAACTAAGCTTTGAATAAAGAAAATTTATCCACTAGACTTTTTTATGGGGCTATATAAAAGATAAAGTTTACGGTACAAAAGCAGCCACAATCGATGAATTGAAGGTGCACAAATACTAAATAAAATGATTCTTGATGTTTGTGATTCCATTATCAGTGGAACAATCATCAGTTTGAAAACAGGGATTGTAAAAAAACATTATTTACTTCTATTGATTCTTTTAAATTTTCAAAATGAACAGTATGTTAATATATACTGACTTTATAATTATTTAAAGTGTGTATACATTTTTGGGATACCCTATATAACTGCTCAAATAGCACTTTAACAATACAAGTATGAAATAATAAATATTACCCTATAAGAGAAATATAAACATCTAATTCATTACCAAAACTGGCATAGGAAAATTCCTACTATTACATAAAATTGTGTCTGAATTTAACAATTAAGACCTTCAAAATTAAAAAAAATTAAAGAGGTGTTAAATGTTCTACAACAAAACAAAGCTGTATTCTAGACATTATTTAATTTAATTGATAAAATATTTGTTAATTCATGATACACTTATATCTTCATGATATTTAATTTTCAAGAAAACAGAGAATTCTAAAAATGAAAACTGAAGCTATTTATTGTTTTCTTAACTATTTCTATTATTTGTTTTTAGAAGTTAAGTGAACTATGAATTTAAGTTATCTTATATTCCTGTCATTCCCTTTATGTTTGAATCTAGTACAGAAGGAGGGTGTCAAAAGAAACTCTACTGACTGTCTAGGGAATATCAATATTTCTTTCTCTGCCCCAAGGATTTGTTTGCTCTGGTTTTGACAGCCCATGGAATCTTTGACACTGACACCTGTCAAATGTTAATAACTTTGCCTCTGTCAAACAGACTCATCACTTAGGCTTTTATCTTTGAAAAACCGAAACCAAAATCAAAATAAATAAATAAAAATTAAGAAGTTTCAAGTCATCTCTCAATTTAAAATACCAAAATATTTAAATGACTTAAAAGTTTAACCTTTTCAGCTGTGAACTCCAGGTAATGCAGAAATATGAAGGGAAATATACTGAAAATAACTTTACCCACAGACTGATTTGACTTTAGTTATCTAAAAATAAGTATAAATGTTAAGAACCATACAAACTTGATATAGAAAATTCTAAAATAAAAAACAAAGATAGTTGGTCCCCATCCATCTTGCTAAGTTTTTGCTTCTGAACTTGCCAGAATGTACCCTTGGAGAATTTCTCATCAGCTATAAACGAAGATCTTCTTCAGATTTCTACTTCCTAGATTTACACTTTCTCTAATTTTATCCAAATTTCACTCACATTGTCAATAAGTTGAACTATATAATTTTGCCAGTATTTGAAAGTTTTAGACCTATAAAATGTCAATTACAAAAAATTCAACCTAAAGAGAAGCAAAAATTAACACTCACTTATACTGTTTTATAAGTGGTCTCTGGGCATAAGATGTATATGCTACCAGTTTCTTGTATCAAAGAATAATAGCATATTTTATGTTAGTATGTAACAGGATATACATTAAATGAGCACTGTCTTTTTTAGGAATTTCCAAAAATACTTCCATTGTGATTACATTATAAAATATCACTATGAAACAGCAATATTGATCATAAAATTTAGATTCTATCATGAAATTAAAATTTAGTTAATTCAATCAACAATGATTTCAACAGATTTTCTCAGAACATTAAAGAAAAAGAATAGGATAAAAACAAAAAATAACCACAATCAAAACCTTCTTTACCCTCCTCTCCACATATGATGCTTTTACTCCTGTGACTCTTCCATTGTAGCTGGGCAAGCAAAGCATCATTATATTTAATAAGGAGGAAATACCCTGTGAAGGCTTCTATTATATCTAGAGATTCAAAGGAAAAGGAAAACACAATTCTTCAAAATGAAATAAAAATGAAATTGATTGAACCACTAATTTATGGCAATTATTTAGTAATTTGTGGTATTAATTATGTAAACTCAGCAATTATCCTATATAATAAAGAGCTAATATGCTAATGATCATCATGCCATTACTCCTTACTGACCAATCAGCAGGAGGCATGTGTGGGTGGGCGGGGACTTGATGCTGTGTCCTTCTGGACAAAGCTGCAGCGGCTGCCTGAGGCTCAGGCAAGCTCCTGCCCAGGGCCCAAGCCTCAGGCAACGAGGGCTGAGGCTCAGACAAACGGTGGCTGCAAGGGATGAGGCTCAGGCAGCTGCGTGGCTGGTAGTGGCAGCAGTAGAGGTGTAATGGGGGCATTGCCTTCCCCTGATCACCAGGTACATCCGCCTCCCACAGAGGGAGGCCAGAGGCAGCAGCAGTGAGAGGTGATGGGGATGGTGCCCTCCCTGATCAGCCATGGGAGGCGAGCCTAAGCCATCAGTAGGACATCCCCTGAGGGCTCCCGGACTGTGAGAGGGGGCAGGCTGGGCTGAGGGAACCCCCCTCTCCCCCGCAGTGCACAAAAGTTTGTATTATATTTTTATAATTCAATAGAAGCTTTATCATATGAGTCATTACCTACATATTCTAATAATACTGGATATCAATGTATTAAGTAATTTTTGTTTAAATAGCGTAACACCTACATCTTGATTTGACATGTCCCAGTAAGGTCTCTCTCCATAAGACATAACTTCCCACATGACGATTCCATAGCTCCATACATCACTGGCTGATGTGAACTTCCGGTACTGGATGGCTTCAGGCGCTGTCCACCTTACTGGAATTTTCCCACCCTATTATAACAAGAAACCAACATTTTAAATAGGTATACATCAGTTTACATCACTTACAGCAGAACCAGAAAGCTACCGTCAATCATCTTTATATTTGCTTGGCAATTCAGCAGTTTCACACCTGTCCATCTTGAATCTCTCTAAGTGTACTTAAAGTTACTAATCTCTTTCTTAAAATCATTATACTATTACACTTTTATGGCAGCTCAGTTAATGGGCCTTATGTGGTCTCAGGAGTCTAGAAGACAATGGCACATTATGTAAAATAACCACTAATATGGAATGAAATATGGTGTATTTAAGTAAACCTTCACATATTTCCCTTTTATACAACCTCACAAAAGTTTGTAAGACTTAACATAGCTCATCTTCTTTTAAAATCTTTATTTAAAATAGAATTATATTTCTTTTTTTTTTTTGCTACAGGTATGAGTACTAGTAGCTAGATGTTGTACATGACTTTACAGTATATTATTTATCTAAACATCCTATAAGATAAGCATGCTATCATTCTTCTTATTTCTTCTCTTGTCCTATATGTAGATTATAAAAGCAACAATGATTCTTCCAAAAGGAAAAAAAAAAAAGTAGCAAGACAAACAAACAAACAAAACTCCTGAGATTAATTGCCCCCCCCTTAATTAATTTTGTATCATTACACTTTACTTTCTTGGTAGGAAAGTCTTAGGGATATGAAGAGATGCAGTAGCAGACTTTTTCTTACAGTTGTTGTATAGACAGCTTCTGGATCATCCTCTATAACCCGGGAAAGGCCAAAATCTGACACTTTACACACAAGATTGCTGTTGACAAGAATATTGCGAGCTGCAAGGTCCCTGTGAACGTATCCCATATCGGCCAAATATCTCATTCCAGCAGCAATTCCTCTCAGCATCCCCACTAACTGAATGACTGTAAATTGCCCGTCGTGTTTCTACAGGAAGACAAAAATAAAGTCCCGTAAACTGTGCTGTGAAGAGAAAGAAATCCCCATGAAAGAGTCTGCACACTAGTCATTTCCTTTTGTGTAATGGGATTTGTTCTTTTTCATATAATACAGACATTTGTGAAAAACAAAATAAATACTGATTTTATTGAGAGGCAAATAACACAAAGCAGAGTTTCAGTTATTTGTACTGATATTGTTAATATTAATTAGCAATAGCTCCATTGTACACAAATCCAAAAGTATATCTTAATTTTTAGGTGAAAGTTAGGGAATGGAACATCCAAACAACTCCCTCACAGCTAAGTGTTTAGTGTTTTCCTCACTAGATAAACAGTTATGAAAATAACCTAAAAACATATAAAGGTACAAACACACATATATTAAGGCATTTCCTCCAAATGGTTAAAAAAAAAGGGGGGGAACACACATATTTTTATTAAAGATAAAGAGAAATTAAGAAGTAGGGAATGATTATATGGGCTGACTTTGTTTTCTTTTTATATTTTTCCTGGTTTTGCTATTAGTAGGAACATTACTTGCAACAGAAAGTCTCCAGACAAGGTATACTAGCAAGTGGGCTTGAACAATATGTGCAACTGAACTGGCTATCATCTATGTATAACCCACAGATTTCTCCAAATGAATTGCAAGTATGGTGCATGAGGACACTGGTGCTGCGTTGATTAACTTGCTAGGTGATGCTTTCCTCTCAGGAGCTCATAGTCATGCATATCACACAGATGCGGCAACAGCAGCAATACAAATGTCTCCAAATCTCCTGAAGGCCTATGAGTCTGGGTAGAACGTACAATTCTAGATCATCTATGACAGCCCTGCACGTCCTCTGATTGCTGAGATTATTTTCTCTTTGTCATTTAAGAAAATGTTAACGTGTTCATGATTTTAGGTGAAAAGTCTCTGAGGATGAAAATGCATTATTTTGAACATTTAGAATGTATCATTTATAAAAATAATCACATGCTATTAATTTTTAAAATGTTAACAATTCCACATTTTATTCTGGGGGTTAACTTAACAGCACAATAGAAATGGCTCCAGAGAGCAGAACGGGGGTCATGGTCCCAATATTATATGGTTATTTCACTTTTCAGTCTTCTTGGTAAAATAACCACTGTATATTGTACTGGAAAAGTAAAATGCTACTCTACAACCTATATTCAAATTACAAAGCTTCAGGTATCCTCTTAACTTGAGGTAGCATATTAATGGAAACTAGTTTTTTCACTACATTGTATCACTTGAATGATCAAAAAGATTCTAGTTCAAGTCAGTCTAAGGCTCTGAACTTTAACCTGCTTAACAACTTTCTAACTTGTTTACAATTTTCACTGAAAAACAAACAAACATACAAACAAACAAAAAACAACACACACACACACACAGAAACTTCAGGAGATTATTTTAGTGGCATGTCTGCAATGTTTAAGATGGGAGAATAATTTTGCTACTTACCCTGAGAAATGCATCTAGAGATCCATTTTCCATGAATTCTATTACAATCATGACAGGTTTCCCTAAAATTAAAAACATACATACATAAGAAAACAAAAGTGTTGTTTCAGAAAAATGCAACCTCAACTTCAAGGTTATTCTCCTCCTCATCCGAGATAAAACACTTGGTGTTTTTTCGAAAGACAGAATGTGTGAGAGTTTCGAAAGTTTCCAGTACTGCTGCTAAGGCCAAAGAGTCCTTACATATCTAGAACATTGTCATGATTCAAAAAATTAAACAATAAAAATCAGTGTGTTCTTCTGACTCCGGCTTTCTGAACAAAACTCAGGGGAAATGTCACTTTATGTAAAGTCTGAAGACTAAAACCGCACCGCTTCTCCGGTTTTTGAGCTAACGGGGAAAAGAAAATCTCAGTTGCTTTAGCGATCAGATATTCTTTTATTCTAATCCTGCATTCATTTGATTTTCCCCCCTGAGGTGGTGACACAAAAGAAGAATTGTTTAGTCAGTGCATACCAAGAAAAACATTCATTTAGAATGTGCACTTTGTTCACTATTTGATTTTTTTACTGTGTGTGAAATGACACTAATTTCTGGCAGCCCACATGGTAAATGAAAGGTCTGATCAATAGCTACCTCTTGTAACAACTCCCTCCAAATGGACAACGTTTGGGTGGTCGAACTGCCCCATGATGCTGGCTTCGCACAGAAAGTCCCTCCTTTGTTTTTCCGTGTACCCGACTTTCAGGGTTTTGATGGCCACGGCGACATCTCTTTTCCCTGGAAGCTTCAAACGGCCACTGCACACTTCTCCAAATTCTCCTGAAGCAACAGAACAGGCAGATGTGTCTTAATTTCAGAAGTATTTCTTCTCTCAAGGTAAATGCAAATAATTCCTTAAAAGTACTTTTAAGCTTTTCTAAAGTCTGTCACACAAACTATTTTTGAACTGAATTAACAAAAATTCTTTCAGAAACAAAATTTCAAATTAAAATTATTTATCTAATGCACACTGCCCACTAAAGAGAAGGGAACATCACAGCAAATCCTAAATGCTGCTACCTCTTCTATGGTTCAAGGGGCAAATAGTTCTTCAAGATTTAAGAGTGTTGAATTCATATGCCCCATGACTGCTACATGAAATGGACTTGGACTGAAAAGGTAACATTATTATTAAAATACATTGAACATATAGATACTAATATTCTTTTTTAATAATTCATGCATATTAACATTCTACATGAAAATAAATAGTACAAAAGCTACTGAATACCTTACAAATACAAGAAAAAGAAATAAAAACGAAAGCTTAGCAAGATGGTACATCAAGTAAGAGTAAATATATTCTAGCAAAATTCAGAAACATGCTAATTTTTTATAATACTGTTATTTCTTGAAGTCCAGGCCAAGCTTAAAAGATAGCTTACAAAAGAACAGTATCTTAACAAAACCAACAGAAGGCAAAAGTGCACAGATTCTCTGTGTCACATGCTTCTTTTTCACTTTTTTCTCTCTTCAGATTTCACAAATAAGTACAGCCTCATTGCTTCCAACAGTTCAGGTAAATGCAAAAGCTCTATACTTGAGGTATAATTATTCGCCTGTCATTATGATGTATGACTTTCGGTCTTGGCTAAATGGAAGAGCTGAATAAGGAAGCTACAACAGCCTTACCTGCACCAATCACACGCTCAATTTTAATACAGGAGGCATCTAGCTCCTTGGCGAATTGATGGACAGCTCTATTTGGGTCCTCATAGGTTTCAGGGTCAATGTAGGTTTTGGTGCCTGGAAATTTAACTGTAATGATGTAAGAAAGCATGACTGTGATGAAACAAAGCACTTATTGTGCAGTCAGCCCAGGGATTTCATTATGCAGAGTGCTCCTTGGAACAGGGAACTTGCTTCCACATCACCTGATTCACAGCGGTTTTAACAGACTACTTCAGTCTGCGGGCGTATAGGTATTATCTGCAAGCTTCTACAGGTTACATAAGATCCAGCTCATAGGTTACTAACTGAATTGCTTTTCCAGTAAATCAACAAAATACATCACCAAAATTCTCTGTCGTGACTTATCAGACTGGAAGTTTAATTAAATTCACTGCTATCATGGCATAGTTCAAGCCATACTGAGGCTAGGAATGGACTTGGAGACACATTTGTAAATCTATCAGTCAGTCAATCAATCAAATACACACACTGGGGAAAGAAGACATTTCATATACAGGTAGCCTACTACACTGACAGCAATATTAAAAACATTTAGACATCTCACTTATTCTTTTGGTTTATTTTTTTTTTAAAGACCAACCACCATTGACATGTACATAAAATTAATACAAGAAGTGAGGGCCACTATCACAGACTCAGAGAGAAATCTACTAAAAACACAGTTTCATTTTTACCTTACAGGGCAATAGAGGCCAGAGTGTACAGAGTCCAGAGTAAAGTTAGAAAAATTTACAATATTCCTGGGATCTGCTAACCATGTGTGACACAGTTTGAAAGAAGAATGGTTCATATGAACTTTCATTTATAAGGCTCTGGGAGGAGGCAGACAATATGTCTCAGAAAAAGTAGTCAAGATTCAAACAGCATAGAATCATAAAAGTTGCAAAAGTTGAAATTTTAAAATGCACCCGGGAGCATGCAGGTAACAGATAATGCCATGTTAACTTTAAATAAAATTCAGTTACAATAATGTATTCCAAGTCAGTCATATGGATAAAGACAAAGATAATAAAGGCATATATTTGGTTATATTAATGCAATGAAAAGAATTACACTATATCCTCAAAAGAAACTTTATTGTTTTTAACAAAGCCACTGAACAATCTTTCCATTAAATCTCACTATTTGGAGAACAATATATTTCTTTATGTATTACACTGCAGCCTAACTGTGCTTATGTCATCACATTAAATTAAAACTATCTTTTAAAAATAAACACATAACAAACAAAAGGAAGCAGAATGTATGAAGGAAAATGGGATTTAAAAATCTTGATTCATTCTGCTGTAGTTGATTGTTTATCCAAAATTGATTGTCTTAAACAATTACTGTTCCAGTTTATAAAACTGACAGATGCTCATTTGTTACTAAAGCTGAACATGAGGGAAAAAAAAAAAAAAGAAAACACAAGAAGAAAAGAGAGAGGGGATAGAAAGAGAAAAGAGAGAAGAAGGAGTACAGAGAAGAGGGGGGAAGAGAAAAAGAGAGAAGGGAAGAAAACAATAGGTTAACCTCCTAGATTGGCAGGCAGATGGAGAATGAGCCATCTTCTCCCTTTTTATTCTCTTTCTTTCATAGTTTTTGTTTTGTTTTGTTTTGTTTTGAGATAAGGGAGCTAGAATGGAGGTAACCTTCTGCATCTCAAACGGGGTCTCTGATGGTTCTTTATTCAAGCTGTCATAAAACATTTTGACAGGCCACAGCGATTTTGGCATAAAAACATGAAATACTGCCCAGCTTGGATTCAAAGACATTGTTGGAAGAAATGGTAGGAGGAAACAAAATGTAAATTGGAATTGCTTCACTGAACTCCTCCATTGTGTTTATATCTTTAAATGTAGTACTTGGGCCATGGAGAGTGGAGTGTGCCTGATATAACGGCTGGACATTCTATTACATCCTGTGCTCTAAAAGCTAGTTAAATGGTTGCTTTCAGATTTCCGTAAAAATTCAATCTGGCGCCTTAGCGCCTAAGGAAATTGTTTGTATACTAAAGGAATAAAAGGACACCTCCTTGCCAATAGCTGGTGACCATACTGCTGTACTTAGACACAGTCATGAAATCGAATAAAGTGTCTGTTTCTTGTCAAATGATAAGAAAAAGTATCCTTGTTAAAAGGGTGATTCAAAAATAACAGGGATTAACCAGAATAGGATATGGTAAGTGCATTTTGCTTCATTATTCATTTAAAAATTGATTTTTAAAATAAAATATATTGACATAATTTCTGAATATTCTGGTCTGTTGCTTATCTCATTAAGGCGGCGAGATTTTCTGTGTTTTAGTAGCTCATTTACATTTCTCATGAGTGTTAAGTATCTTGAAACCACCATAGATAATTTTGCTCTGGAGATGAAAATTGTATATTTATCAAACATATCTTGTCCACATTAGCAAGTACATCATGCCACCCTATTTTTTTTCTTCTAATTACAAACTGAATGTCAAATGTAAAAAAAGCAAATGGCATTAAAATATTAAAACTGAGTGATGACTATTAAGCATAAGGCTATATAAGTTTTACATGAGCCATATTTCAACTTACTTTTTGCATTAACCTTCAAGCTAAAATTATATAAACTAAAACATATCTGGTAATTTTGAGATGTCTCAGAAATACTCCATAGCAGAGTGACATGGTGATGAAAACAATATTAAATGATCCTGCCATCCAATTATTCACATATGGGCAGATCAGGGATTGCAGGAACTATGGTCTTAAGTTTCTCTCCTTTATACACTTTAAACTAGATGTAAAAATTTAGGCATTCAAGATTGGAACCTGTTTTTCCTATCCGCAGAAGTGTTAAAATTATTCTCTTATGTCATGAGAGAGAAAAAAAAGTAACCTCTATTTTTTCGGTACATCCTCTCACTAAAAACTGCCTCTGGCACTCTCATCGCCGGAGGCTGTGTTCTCCCAGGAAAAATCACTGCAGGGAAGGGGTGGGATCACATGGATTCAGCCATAGTCAGGGGGAGCGTTAAGTTTTAGGAGGCTTCTACAATTATGATGCCCTCTTTGAGTAAAAAGAGATTATACACACAGGATGGCCAGGGCTTTACCAGGTCCTAAACCGGGTCTGAGGAAGTGAGGGGCCCCGGAGCGGAGGCCTCTTAATGAACAGCCACTGGTCACACCTTTTACTTTAATCTGTAGTATCCCAAACACCCTTCCTGCCTGGAAAGCTGATGAGTTTCATAATCAAGTCAGATATGTATTATCTAAAGCCACTTCTATTTTGAAAGCTACAATTACAGTGCTGGTTCCACAAATAGAAACACATTAAAGAAACTCAAAATGTGTGTCTTTAGAGTAACACATTTTCTGGATAGATGCTTAGATAATCTTGTTATTGTAGAATGGGTGCTTGACAATACCTTCTTAGATATTATCATAACAAATTGATAAACAATACAATAATAGATATAATTCCTTTGCCATTTAAGAAATTTATCCACTCATAAAAAAAATTCTAGTGAAGATGATTGCTACTAAGAAAAATAATAAGTAAAATTTTTCTTAATAATTTCAAGGATTATCAGAACTAAAATCATTTGATCTGATAGATTTTTACTTTGGATGCATAGAGCTCTAACATTTATTCACATGGCTCTCATTTTTTACTTGTTATCCATAATGGACAAGAATAAAAGTAAAGATGGATATCATTTGGATTATCTATTTTCCTTGGTTACCTAACCTCTATTCCAAATATGATTTCTAAAATGAATTTTTAAGAACTAGGTAATATGAATCTACAGGAAGACATTGGAGGATTAAATCCTATTACTATTCCTTTATTGTCGGGTAAAAATATCTATCAATGATAGACAATGTATAGTAGCAGAAGAGAAAGTGGTTCCTTAGCCTTTTACGGTAGCATAACTCATTAGATGGTAAAGCCTTCTAATTTTATAAAAATTCCTTGGCTAGAACATGGGCCGTGCAACATTTAATGGATTATTATTAAAATAGTAGGAAACATTTGAAAAGGAAAAATTCTGACATAAAGGCAGTTTAATATATTCTGCAGTTATATTAAAATTTCTTATGAGATTACATATCAGAATATATTTTATTGTTTTATAAATTCACATGATATGACTTTCATTCTAAATATATTGTCAAATGCTTTAAAGCAGTACTTTGAGCTCATTTCAAGGGTGATGTGTTAGGAATTTTTTCATGCCAATATTAACAACCAAGTTCTGTATTAATTGCAATATATAATAGTAAAGAAAAACCAAACACTTACAATGAAAGTAAAGCTCTTCATCCCCTTCTTGGTCAGCTTTGCTATAACCACAGTGCCTGGGGGGGAAAAAAAAAATCAAATTTGTGACAAACACAATCAATGATCTTCCTTTATATTTTTAAAATTCAGTAAAATATACCTTATTTATTTTACAACATGCTAGTTAGATATATAAACAAAATATAAAAATTTCCTGTATTATGTAAACATAATAATAACAATAATTCATATGATTAAAAAAAGGCACAGAATATAAAGTATTTGTGTGAGACAAAATAGAAGAAACATATTTATAGGTTTAGATTTATAAACGAGTAAATATTTGCTTCTACAATTCCCCGTCCCCCGGGAAAACAACAGATTTCTAAATGGTTTCCACAAGCATTAACTAGAAAAATAATTTTTTCCCAAAAGAAATGACATTACTCATCCCCTTAAACTAAAGGCAATGATTAAGTTCAAAGTGTATTTTGATCTTGGGAGAATGAAAACTTAGTGCTCTTTAATGTTTCATATCCCACAAAGAGTGTTTGCATTTACTATCCTGATGTACTAAATAACAAGCAATGGGAGACCTAATTCTGAAAAATTGAAAAGTTATATCTCAGGGATGAGAAGCAATGTGTATCCTACCTTCTCCCAATGATGAAGCCAAAGACCATGAACACCAGGATGATGGTCCCTGCCACGGCGACCACAGCGATGATGATGACGGGATTCTGCTCACTGGACACGGCTGTGGCTACAAACAGAGCAAAGGGGCCCAGCAACACTCAATACCAGGAGAGAACTCGAGAGGTTAAACAAAATCTTACCAACAGGAGATGGCGATGCTATCGAATTCACCCCGAGCTTTAAATAAGTGCATTATTTTCATTCAGTGTAAGTTTAAATGTTATTTTTGCATTTTAAAGAAGTGGTAAGGACAGTACTTCATCTATTTTATGTCCCTCAGCTATAAAAGAAACCTATAAAATACATCATTGAATGCCTATCTCCTGCTTAGTGATTGGAAACTTAGTTATGAATCAAAGACAGAGATCTTTCATCTACAATTGTGATTTAATCCCTATTTTTCCTCAGCAAGGTATGGGATCCTTCCAGGTCTGTTTTTCTGGAATATAGATATATTAAAAAAGAACCAAAATACATATTCTATGTATTTATTCAAAGTGTTTTAAGTGATTTATTTTCTATGTCATCAATATAAAATAAAAAATCATCATGTGATCATAGTCATCACGACTTGACAATTCACTATAATGAAGAAGAGTAGAATTACTTGTATTAATTTGAAAAAGCACGCAATGCACACCTATGAGAGTTTAAGATTATAAAAGAGGTTAGCTATGTAAGAAAGAGCAAACTTTCTGCAAGTACTTTAAAAAAGATTTCAGCATTATCTAATTGTAGACACTTCCTGCATAATGGTGGGTGATTCTCCTATGCTCATTAAGGCAAGCCCTGCTGGCCTTTGGGGGTCTCCCTGGGAACGGTCTATGTTTACATGTCCTGTAAAGCAGCCTCTAATTCCAGTGCTTCAGTAAGTCACATGGCCATCCCACGTGACCATTTTTCCAAATTAGTGGGGTTTTACTTTATATCGCAATTTGCAATTGTCATATTTCCCTTAGAGTATTATAATTTCAATGCCAGTATAGCCTTCATAAAGTACTATAAAACAATAAAAATGTATTTTCCACTAAATGATTCTGTTTCAAGTATCATATAATATACAACGTCCAACTAATGTCATTTGTTTGTTTCTGAAACAATCAATGGTGGTACTCTTTATGGCAGGATGGAAAATATTACTCCTCCTTGCAAGTGGCAAGGGACTGGGTCTCCAGAGCATTAAATTATATGTAGGCAGAGTATGTCTTGCCACAATATAGGCAGCATAAAGTTTTTTGTGCGTGTTTGTTTGTTGTTGTTTTTTATTGGCCTTTCTTTAGTTTATCTATGTCTTCTTCCTTTTGAGAACTTATCTCTTAATTTTGTATACCTAAGCTAACTATAGATAGCTTTTATCCTGAAAAACCTTATAAATAGCTCTGGTATAATAATTTCTGAACAAAGATATTATGCACACTTGCCAATTCAGTACATGCTGATTTATTCCCAAGGGAACTACATGAGGCAGGGGTCTAGGAGAGGAAACAACTTTTAAGCTTTATTTTTTAATTAAACCTCAACAACAACAACAACAACAAAAAGATGACTTCAAGTTTTTTGGTTTGGCTGGTTTGGTTGTTTTTATTTGTCTTTTTATTTGTGGTAAAGAGAAAAAAGGATGGAGTGGTCTGTTCATGAAGAAGGGAAATTACACACGTGCGTATACAAAGCATTTCTGTTCAATCTGTGTGTCCCATGGGTCTAATCCTTTGTTTGTCTTAGATTCCGTTCTGCCCTGAGCTTCAGGAACATAACTCCAATGAGAAAACTGAACTCAGGTGCATGACGAAATAGAACTTGTGAATATTCATGTGTATGTTTCTATATCTAGCCAGGGTCACACTTTAATCTTTCCATAGTCAACATCCATGGTTAACATTTTCAACTATTTCATGGGTAATAAAATTTAAAACTAAGTTATAGGTGCCATAATCAACACACCATGGTTTAAAAAGTATAAAAACAGTAGAGCTGACTTTGCATTAGAAGGGGCTGTTAGGACATATGTGCGATGAAATAGTCTGTTTAGCTTCTCTTTTCAAACAGCGCTCAAGTGACTTCTCTTCAGCAGCATCTTCCCTGCTGTTCTTCCCAGCACAGGAGCCACTGTTTGCTGACACTAACAGCATTGGCCCATGCACTCTATCAGCACTTAACGGTGTGGCGAGAATTTGTCTACAAGTCTGTCTTTCACTAAACTTTAAATTGAAAGTATCAACTCTGTCATGTGCCTGTACATTTTTAATTCTTAGCACAGTAGCTTGTACTAAATCATTATTTCTCAAAGAATGGTCTGGGAAGCCTTGAGGATCCCTCAAGAGCTCTCCAGGAATGTGGAAGGCCAAAATTATTTTCATAGAATACAATGCAATTTGACTTTTTTAAAATACGTTTTTATTGATTTTTAGAGAAAGGAAAGGTAAGGGAGAGATAGAAACACCAGTGAGAGAGAAACATGGATCAGCTACCTCCTGCACGCCCCCTACTGGGGATTGAGCTGGCAACTTGGGCATGTGCCCTGCCTGGGAATCAAACTAGTGACCTCTTGGTGCATGGGACAAAGCTAAACCACTGAGACACACAGGCCGTGTTAACTTGACTTTTTTTTTTTTTACTCATATATGCTCACAAGTAGGCAGAGTTTTCCAGAAGTTATATGTCATGGGATGACATCATCACCCTAATGGCTAATGAAACCTGTGTTGAAAAAATGTTTCAGTTATAATTTCTGATGTGGTGATTATCGATAGATATAATCTATACTAATAAAAGGATCATATGCTAATTAGACCGGACATCTTTTGGACATCCTTCCAGACAAAGCCACGGTAGCAGGGGCTGAGACAGTGGTGGTTAGGGGCAATCAGGCTGGCAGGGGAGAGCAGTTAGGAGTGATCAAGCCATCAGGGGAGAGCAGTTAGGGGAATCAGGCCAGGAGGGGAAAGTGGTTAGGGGTGATCAGGCTGACAGGCAGTGTGGTTAGGGGTGATCAGGCCGACAGGCAGTGTGGTTAGGGGTGATCAGGCAAGCAGGCAGGTAAATAGTTAGGAACCAGCAGTCTTGGATTGTGAGAGAGATGTCCAACTGCCAATTTAGGCCTGCAGAAATCAGGCTTACACCGGCAGTCAGATATCCCCCGAGAGGTCCTGGATTGGAGATGGTATAGGCCGGGCTGAGGGTCCCCTAGCCAGTGCACAAATTTCATGCACCAAGCCTCAAGTCCTATATTATAAAAGGCTAATATGCAAATTGCCCTTGGACAGGGAGTTTGACGGGAGTTTAACCATGAGTTCTTCTGGCCCTGCCAACAATTCCCCCCTCCCCCCAATTGGGGACAGGGTTGGCTAGCCCATAACCAGCTTGATAGGTCCTAATAGGAGCAGGCTGGCCAGACCCCACTTGTGCACGAATTTGTGCACAGAGCCTCTAGTACAAATAATAAAAATCTTAATTCCTGAAACCAAAAATCTTGAAATGGTGTGCATAACAATATAAGCTGACACTCAAGACTTCCTGCGTGCTGGGGACTGAACAAGGCACTTTGTGTACATTAATTTATTGAATCCTCAGAATGCCCTCTGAGTTGGGTGGTGGCTATTGTAGCAACCAGGATACAGAGAAACAACTCATCCAAAGTCCCACATCTGGACATGAAAGATGTGAAACCAGGAAATATGTCTACTCACATAGAACGATACTAATAATCTGTTCTAAACTGATGACTTTAGTTAGTTATTTATTCATTCATTGAGTGCTTTCTATGTATTAAGCACTAGCAAGACAATCGTAAGAAAAGGAGTTGTGATCATTCTTCCATCAACTATATCTTCCAGGGGAAGAGAATATTCTTATGCTAAAAATCACCCAATCCTTTCTAATGCAAACATCGATTTTTAAGATTTATTTTATGTAATCATTCAAATCCCACTACTTCATCTTAATCTCTCTGAGTCTTATTTGGTTCACTTTTATATAATGAAAATAATATGTACAAACTTCAGCACACAACTCACAGTTTATAAAGTTCTCAAACCTATTTGGAAAATATTTTAAAAACCATTTTGAAAATATAGTCAAACATATGATAAAAATATTTCACAATTTTTCAAACCTAATTGTTTAACTAATAAAAAATGTGCAGGTAAATATGAAGTAATTGATGTTTTTAAGTTTAAATTATTCATTAGAATATGGAAATGTTATTTGAAGTGTCTTATTACACTAGAAATCACAAATATCATGAGGTCAATCTAAGTTGAAGACTATGAGAGCCATTTAACACAAGACCATGACAATGTTTAAATGTTGAAATCTCAGCTTAAAAATTCTTTAATGCTTTTGGAAGTTTGAATGTTAAATTCTCAACTTAAAATCCTTTAATGTTTCTGGGGCCATTGAACTTATTCTCATTTTTAAATTTACATACTCCATTTTAAAAATAATAAAGGATAATGGCATTAATTTTATAACAGCAAATATCTACAGTTATAGCTACAATTATGAAAACATAATTTATATTTCAAGTTTACTTCAATGTTTTATTCTGTGAGGTTTTGAGAGTTACTGCTTAGTTTAAAAATATAAAAAATTTTCCCTGCCAGTGTTGTTTGGTGGGTGAATGTCCACCCATGCTCTGCGAGGTCACGGGGTCCATTCCTGATCAGGGCACATGTCCGGGCGGTGGGCTCTCTCCCCAACAGGGGTCATGCTAAAGGCAACCAATCAATGTTGATGTTTCTCTCTCATCGATGTTTCTATCTCTCCCTCTGCTCTTTCTCTCTAAAATAAATAAAATCATATTAAAAAATAAAAATATTAAAAAAATTTAAAGACAAATACTGTTAGCAAATGTAACAATCATTAGGTAATATAAAGGATATTTAGTCTATCTTTAAAAGATGTATGAAAATATTTTTCTGAAGTCAAAATAATTTTTTGATCAAAATTTTATTAATTTATTAAAAACATTTTATTAAATTTGGGGGAGGAAAATAATATATTTCTTTTATCATTTTTGTTTAGAATTTTGTGGGAATGCTAGATTGGCAAACTGGTGATGAGGTAACAGCTGGTGAACCGTGGCCTGAGCAGTGACATCAGGAGAAATAAAAACATTTCAGAATACAAAAGCACACTCTGAGCCCTCAGCCAGCTGAAGAACAACCAGCAGTGGTACTCAAGCTGTTCTGAACTTGCACTCTGAGGATGAACTAGGACACCATCTAAGATACTTCTGCTCCTTGGTGATGCACTATAGACTCGTGGATTATTGTGTTCTTATGTTGCATTATACAGATAAGCAAAATGATCAAGGGGATACAAGATATTGGTAGCATTTTATTTTTAAGCTGAGTGGTAGATACAGAGATATACACTTAAAAATACTATTTCATATATATGTTTAGTGTATTCTTTAGAATGCTTGAAATATTTCACACAAAAAGAAAAAAAAAAGTGATAAAAATAAACATAAATGCATGTTCTAAGAATTTCCTGGGCTCAATTTTTGAAATTATTACCAAAGGGCAAGTAACGTGAAACTACTTGCCCTTTGGTAATAAGTTCTTACAGCTTTCTCTGGCCCACCCTCGTGTGCATCCTGGCTTCGCTCGGGGTTTCTAAAAAGAAGCGGTTTTGACTGATTCAGCTAGAGTACATTAATTTGGGGTCTACACAATCACCCTGTTTATTAAGCAAGTCCTGCTTCTGTTCCTAACATCATCTTTTTCAAATAAACCCAGTATGTATTAACTATCTGAAATCCCCTGTTTCTAACACTGCAAAACAAAACCGCACATTTCAAAGGATTATCCTGAATAGCCTTTACAAAGCACATATATTTGCAGACATATTTACCTTTAAAAGTAAAAATTATCTTAAACCAAATCATCATCCCAACAGTTAACAAAAAATGCAAGAGTTTAAAAGTATAGAAAGTAAGAATCCAAATCAAAGGTGGTAATTACCTTCAAACATTTTACCTGTAGCTTCCTCTAGCGTAGCCACATCGAGTCTGGGGCTGTAGTTTCCATAGCCAGCGGCGGTAAAAGCCCGAATCTGGAAAACATACACTGTTCCTGGCTTCAGGTTATTAATGGAGGCTGAGGTGGACTTGGTTTTTACTGTCGAGTAGGTACGTTCCCTTTGATCCTAGAAACAATATATACAGGGCACATTTAACTGTGATCGCAAACTAGGCAGTTTGACAGCCAATTTTTGCAATTTATTTCAATTTGCAGCATTGTTATTGTAAAGGCTACCTTAGATACTCTGTGGAATAGTGCACATTGAGTTGTTTCTCAAATAATATAAAGTGTAAATGTGAACACATGCCTTTGTTGTATAAATTTCAAAGAGAAATATTTTTGTTTAAACATTTATGATATTTGGAATGTTCTCTTTGTTCATCGAGGGCAGAGTGGCAAGAACTAGTTAGCCATAAAGAAAGTAAAATGCCCTAATGACCAAGACATGGGTACACACCTGTAAAATCTATGGTGTAGTAGAGGTTTTCATTTCATAAGAAAGTACTTTTAATATTTTTCCTGAATGTTAGTTAGCAAGCAAAAAGCATGTTAAAAATGAAGAAAGCTAATTAAATCAAGAAATTTAGCTAGCACTATTACCATAGTATTGCAATTTTCAACCAGTGTGTCGCAAGGATTTTTAAAACATGCAATACCTCAGTATTTAGCCAGAGACACTGACCTCTTTTCTTTCCTTTTTTTTTTTTTAAAAAAAAAATATATTTTTATTGATTTTTTACAGAGAGGAAAGGAGAGAGATAGAGAGCTAGAAACGTCGATGAGAGAGAAACATCGACCAGCTGCCTCTTGCACGCCCCCTACCAGGGATGTGCCCGCAACCAAGGTACATGCCCTTGACCGGAATCGAACCCGGGACCTTTCAGTCCGCAGACCGACGCTCTACCACTAAGCCAAACCGGTTTCGGCCTGACCTCTTTTCTGTTAGATGGTTTAATAATAAAAAATAACAAAAAATGACAACAGCCAACACAACAATCAGTCTGGTGTGAATGCCTTGTCTTGAACCATAAATATATAGGTCATATAATAGAGTTGAATCTTACGGGTCATGTTGCATAATAAGGTTACATCTAATTGGTTAACTCTTAGTACCAGAACTCATATATACAAGTATAGGCACCTGATTTTTTTTTTTTTAAATCACATTGGAGCAAAAAGAGTAGATAATAACTATTATTCATTTTTTTAAATCAATCAAAATTATACTAATTTTTATCAGATCAGGAAAAATATATATTTTTTGGTGTTGGAACAGAATTTTAGTGGTTTCTGTGTGGCATGAGATGAAAAAGGTTGAACATTGCTGCCATAGTGACATTATCAATTGTTTTAATTAAAACTCCATTTATAACAGAATAAAACCACTTTTACAATATAGGAATTAAAAGAATATTTTAAATTAAAAGTATTATATAAAAGTCAAAATATTGTATAATTTATGGCTTGACAAGATTTTAAACAATGTAATTTAGTTCAATTTTCTCATTTTTCAGATATATAAACTGAGGCTTACGGAGTTTAAAAATGTGACTTTCATATTATATATGACTAGAGAACCGAAGCATGAAATTTGTGCAAGGGGTTTGGCCCTCACAGCCCTGGCTTCGTTCAGAAGATTACCCGGAATTCCGGAAGGTCATTCAGCTGTCCAGTCTAATTAGCATATTATGCTTTTATTATTATAGATAGATAAGCTTAAGAATAAAATAAATTTTAAAATTCAAGAAAATGAAAACTCCATCAAAACAGTGTACAAATGAATACAAATTTAAAACTTTATTGATATGCCTCTAATGGGCTATTTATGAAAAAAAGTAATAAAAACTGTTCATCCAAATACACAATTTTAAAGAATTTATTAATTATTCTATAATAAATTCCTGCGCTCAATTGTGACTGTCAATAAAACTCTTATTGAAATTTGAAAATGTCAGTCTGGTTGTTTGATTTTTCTTCACATTGATATTTACAAAAGTGTAAATAACTGTATATCCAAACTGCTTGTGATTTATAGTGAAACGGATTTGTGATTGTTTTCATTATAATCATTCATAAAAATGATAGTTGGTATTATAAATATGCATTTATCTAAAACAAAACAAGAATAACTAATATTAGATGACATAATTATATATATATATGTATATATATATGTGTGTGTGTGTGTGTGTGTATGTATATACCAGGTATGTATATATCATGTGTTTATATACTTTATAGTGCAATGCAGTTATTCCCTAGTTTGTAAATTCAGAGAATATACATACATTTTCTTTCTGTGATGCAAAATAGAAAGAAAAGGAACTATTTGAGTAAGGATTTGCAAAATATCTTGTTTCACTGTGAGAAACTTTACTCTCGTTTACCTTGTAACTTACATTTAAAAAAATATATTTTATTGCTTTTGAAATCTGATATAATTTCAGAAGGGATTATAACTGTTAGAGCTCATTGAAAAACAGACATAAAAACCAACATTAAAAACAAGGGTTCCCTCAGAAATACATTTTTGATGGGATAAAAATTTTTCCCTGGAACAAAGTGAGGTATTTAAAATGTAACTTTGGCAGTGGAGTCAGTAATTTATAAAGGAAACAATAAGTCAAAATATTGTAATCTTAATCTGAACACTGAAACTAATTTTAAACTACTATATGTTTTTGCTTCAGAAGGAAAAACATTATCTATTGCCATGCACTGGTGCACGTTAAGTATTTATTCAAGTAGATCAGCTTCCAAGTTTTTCCAAATCTTTAAGTTCCTATTTTTAAGAGCTGTCTAACTGGTTAAAATAGCCCTGGCTGGTTTGGCTCAGTGGATAGAGCATCGACCTGTTGGATTAAAGGGTCCCTGGTATAATTCAAGGGCATGTGCCCGGGTTGTGGATTTGGTCCCCAGTGGGGAGTGTGCAGGAGGCAGCGTATCAGTGATTCTCTTTGATGTTTCTATCTCTCCCTCCCTCTCCCTTCCTCCCTTAAATCAATAAAACTATATTAAAAAGTAAATAAATAAATGGTTACAATAGTTATATCTATACTATAGCACTTCAGCTAACTCACTTAAGTCAATAATAGTAACACTTACTATTACTATTACTACTAGTAATAACAATAGTTTCCATGTTTCAAATCTAAAACCTTCTGTGGGGTCGAGCCTACATACCAGTTTGTGACTAAGGGCACCATGCTCCCAGTCTCTCCAGATAGGTCAGAAATAAATGCACTCATATGCTCAGGCATGTCACTATTTATTAAAATGTAGCAAATATGGAGATATAGAGGCAGCACTTGGGTTTTTCCCATACAATTTTTCATGGAGAAAGGCGTATAGAGAAGTGATCTTGGATGTGAGTAGCATAACACAGCTGAATTAAATTTCACGTGGAATTTAAAGAATAGACTATCGTCAACCAATTCTAAAGTTTAGAGAATTCTGCCAAGTTATCGCCAAAATATCTTTAATTTTCAAATTACTCAATAATTTTAGGCCGTCATCCTATCGCTGAAACCACACACATAAAATAAATCATTCAAGGTCCAAGCGGACATCCTGAAATAAAAACGTTTTTCAAAAAATGCATTGGGCTGTGCGGTTTGGGTGGCACGAAAACATGCTCCAGCTAATTATCATGACTTCAAAATGTGAATAAGCAAATATATTCCTAGAGGGATATTTTCAGTTGTGTCGCAGAAGTTGAATAATGCAGAAATTACAATAACGAATCACAGTCTCCAGGAGATGATGATCGAAACCGGCTAAAATTAACTAAGAGTTCTGAAGAACCTCCGAAGAGTTGGCAGAAGGACCAACTTCAGTGAGCAGTGCGGCAGGCGGACAGGAGACACGTGCCGCGGTGCACTTCCTGCTCCCGGTACTTACTTTCTCGTAATACTTGATTTCGTACTCGGTGATGACTCCGTTGGGATGCTCTGGCTCCTGCCAGGAAAGCTCCACGCTCCGCTGTAGCACCCGCTCCTTCATGACTCCGCTCACTTGCGAGGGAGCTGTTTGGACAAGATGTGTCAATAAACAGTGAGGAAATGCACTGGATGCCTCGCATCAAATGTCATCACTTGATCAGCTCCGAGCTGTGCCAGTTTCATTAAGGTAAAAAGAAAGCACCTTTTCATAGCTCACAATTCAGGAGGTAATGAATATTCAAACAGGACCTTATTACCGTTCATAAACCTTAATAGGAGTTTAAATTAAAGTGCAAACAGCAGAAGATAGCATTGTTCAGGTTAGTGAAAAAATGGAAATGCAGGGGCTGAGGATGACAATTAAGCAAGTGAATGCTAATTAAGGCTACAAAATATGATTTCAGATTAATCTCCAGTGATAAACGAAGTCCAAATATTTATTTCGCAAGCAACAGCAATATGCTTATAAAGGAAAAAATAAATTACGTTAATATCGTGCAAGAAAAATATATATGAAATGGCTCCTTCAATCTTCAATGAAAGTGATCCCACTTTTAAAAAAAAATGTTTTTATGTTTCATGGGTGTGTGTCTGTATTCCCAAAGAATTCCAATTAACCTTGGCAAAAAAATTTTTACACTTTTTTTGGTCAAGGGCAAGAAAATGCTAAAGCTGCTGGTATTCCAAAATGTGTGTGAAAACACATATATACTCTTGCATGTGTGCTTTACACTTAGGGAATCCAGGCCTCAAGCTTTGAAAGCAGCAGCTCGCACTATAATGTTGCCTTCTCTTTCTATATAGATAATACTATGCTTAGAGCTCTTTCATTCTAATTAGTGGCATATACTCTCTCTTGGTAGCTAAGACTGTGGAATGCAGCAAACCAATTTGCTCTGTCTAATTTGCTCAGTGATGATTAACTAGTTGTCTCCTCTGTCTAAATGAGGAGCCGCCCTGGCTTGGCTGGATTTCAGGGGGGGTCATTATGTTCCATGTATCATGCTCTATCTCATCCTGTAAAATATTTTCAGGCTGTTAATTTAATTTTCAGATGTCCAAATTTGTTAATAATCCCGCTGACAGAAAAGCAATTATAAGGAGGCCAACGCTGGTTAAGCAAGCTTCTGATGTTTATCCTCTTGGCTTTATTTTGCTTCTTCTCCTTTTTAATATTTTCTCGTATCAGTGTCTAGAGAAAACATTTTTCCACTTCTCTCTGGCTTGGCGGTCGGGAGGGAAGGACATGGAAGATGCATGACTCCCATTTCCTCGCAGATGACTAACAAAAGCATAACGAGGGAAGATGAAGTGGGACAACACTTGCTTTCGGGGGATGCAGCTGAAGTACTCAGCACCCAGTGCTTACAGAATCAATGTGTGTCTGATGTTCCTAATGAAGCAAATTCCTAATAAGAAATCTTATTTTTGCCCCTTTAAAAACCTGGTTATATACAGGGAAGGAGCACGTGTTTCTAAAGTGATTTGCCTCTTCACCCAGAGCATGCCTGGCACAGCTCAGCTCACTGTGATGTCCAAGATGCTGGGAAAACGAACCCCAGCTAAGCATGAGGTGAGAGTCTACTAAGTAAATGGTCTCTAATTGTCTAATCTAGGTAAAATTATTCAGAGAAGCCTGCATTTTAATTCTACTTAGCAAAAAGTAGAACGCCATAGCCCAGGTAAGAATACCATAATAGTCGACACTCTTAATTACCCTACAAAGCGGCTGGTTTACAACCCAGTGTGTGCCATTTGGAAATAGGTTAGCCGAAAACCGGTGCGAGACCTCGTCGGTACCAAGCTCTAGGTCTCTTTCAAGTGACACACAATAGTTAAATGTAATTTCCAGCTAAGTCAAACTGTAAGACATTTTGATTAGCTTCTGTCCTTAATTACTAAGGTGAAGGAGGCAGAAGACACTGAATTTTCCAAGGGATGGAGGGACGTGGTGTTTACATTTACCTCATGTAGTTTCTGATACATCACAGCGAGATCTAAGTATAGACAGACTGGATTTCTGCAAGTTACACACTAAAATGATATTGTTTCGTGCTGGAAAACCAATAAAGTTATGGTAATTCGGGGTTGGGGGAGAAATACTTGAAGATCTTTTCAAACGGACAGTATTTTGAAACCTGTGTCGGCACTGACAGTGCAGTGTGCTACGCTCCCACCTCACCCCACCCAACCCTCCTTTTTGTACAAGCAGTCGTATCCGTGACTATAGCTCTGATTTTCTATTTCCTTTTTTAAAAAAATTATCCCGTGGTGATACTGTAGCACATTTGAGAGGATCAGAGACAGAAGTACTAGCACGTGGCCCTAGAGAAAAGATAAATTGCATGATAGGAAAAATCTTTTCCTGTCTTATGTCCTTCAAATACAGTATTTTGGAACAGGAAAACTGATAATATTTTCCCTTGAGTTTCAATATCATAGGCATTAAGGATATACAACCCAAAAGATATATAGCTAAGCTAGTCAGATCCTAATAGGGTCATTACTTTCAGATAAATGTATGTGTACAAGTATAATTGAAGTTGCATAATCTTAAAACTCAATGCTTTCTATGGTGAATATATATATGATCTACTAAATTAATCACATAGTTACAATTTCCCTAAAAATATACTCACACTTAAACCAAAATATTAAATTTACCACAATCTGAAGTTCGTTTTGAAAAGAAAACGTACATAATTAAATTTTATACATAGTTAACAACCAAATAGGTGCTATGACATTTAAGTTGTAATTTCCACAATGATTAGTGTAAATAAAATATAATCAGAATTGATTTGAAGTTAATAAGTAGTAACCAACAATAATAAAAGCCCTAAATTGAAAAAGTAGAAAAAAATACTTCATATAGAGGAGCTTTTAAACATGATTTTTTAAGTAGAGTTTTTAACAAATGATTAACAGATTCATTTCTCACCTAAATTTCTTGATATATGCATATACAAAAATTAATTTTAACTGAAAAAACAGATGGAACATTTTTTGCCCTTAAATTCTTCACAACTTATTGAGACATATCTGGAGTCTGTACAAATGACAGTGAAAGATGGCCTTAGGAAATTCAGGAGATGGGTTCCATGGCTCAAAGGGGCAAATTTCAACAGTATGCAAACAAGCTTGATAAAGTCGATGCAACAGGAATGCAGAAGCCTAATAACAGGCGGAAGGTAATTTGTGGGCTGCGTTTGTTAGTGAGAGCCTTTGAATTAAAAAAATAATCAGTGAGAATGTCAGGTTTATGAAAAGACCCGAACCAATCAACAATTTACAGATTTTGCACTTCAAGCATTCACGCATGACTTTTGATCTTAATCAATTTATAATTAAAATCCAAATACAAAAGACACATTTACATTTTAAGATGAAATATATTTATCAAGGCTCCATTCTCTCTGGCTGCCCCCCACCCCCACCCCCTCCCAAATGTTAAGTTTGCCTTCATGCATGGGAAAATTTCCTTGCACAAAGTAGGGAGAAATACAATATTAAAACATAGTATAGGAGGATATACAAAGATATCCATAGTCTAATCTCTGGACTATGTGAATGTGCAACAGTATATGGCAAAATGGACACTGCAGATGTAACAAACTAAGGTTATATAGATCTTACAATACAGTTAGTATCATGGATTTACCCCTGGGGGCCCAATCTAATCACATCAGCACTGAGAGCAGAGACATTCTCCCTCAGCAGCGCAGCATCAGAGGGGTGCCCCTGAGGGAGAAGCCTGGAAGTGTGAAGCAGGGGAGGGTCTAACATAAGGGACACAGGAGAAGATATGGGGAAAGGCTTTAGGGTCAAAGACTGGTCCTGGCTGACAGAGGCAGGGAAACTGAGGCCTAGATTCTACAAGTGCAAAGGGCCTGGATTCTGGCAACCAGTCTCCGGGTAAGAGCCTGGCCCAGCTAATACTGACCCCATCCAGTGAGGCTGTCAACAGAGTATCTGGCACAGAGGCCCACAGCGCCCAGATCCCTGACCCACGGAACTGGGAGATAATAAACAGGTGTTGTTTACAAGTTTTTGTAGTAATTTTTACAGAAGCATTAGAAAGCCAATTCGTATAGGTAGTAAAGCAATATATATATATATATATATATATATATATATATATATATATATATTAGACTTACTGATTTGTTTATGAAGTCTATGAAAAAAAAAGGTTAGTGATAGGATAGTTTGATCATGAGGTATGTCAAACTTCATGTTGCAATAACATGCAGTCAAGAAATTTTGATCTTCATTAGCACTCAAAAGCACAATGTCTTATAGGAAAGAAATCTTCAGTGTATATTAAAAAAAAAAAACACATTCTTTGTGGTAGAACTTTAGTGAACCTCATGAAGGATTTAAAAAGCAATTTATACTACTTGCCATTGTTACTTCACTTAAATGCTCTCATTGAATTTCAACAAAGAATGGTGAGTGAAAACATAATATTTGTATTTCTAAAGAATACAATGAGGTAAGATGGGTCAACAAGCATGGAATGACCTTTTGCCATGCATTTCAAGCTGTTAACTCTATTGACATTTGTTAGGTTTCCATTAAATAAATACAAAAAAGTGAAAATGAACAAATCTTTAGAATAGTCAAATGCAAATCTGACAGTAATAGAATAATAGTCCTTGCTGAATGCTTTTGTTGCTGCACAGTAGGGAATTCATTTTTAGCAACCCTTTGAAATCATAAATATGTGTATTATTAGCAGCTTAGTATTTTTAATACACAACTTTTAGCTTCCTTACTCTTCCCCACAGGTGTTTCATTTTTGCACTACAGAAAAAGCACATATAAAAACACATATCAATTTCTTTCAATAACAAACACGAGGCCATCGCACAGAGTTGAGTATCATGTACCATATCAATTCCATTTTGGGGGTATGTAGGAACATGTAAAAAAAATTCTAACATGTGATTTCACTGAACTTTAATTTCCTGACTGTAAACAAAGGGGTTAGTAGTAATATGATGAGCAATAAATATAAAATTTACTTAACAAAAAGAAGCACAAGAACTAAGGGCAATTGAGCCCACAGCAATTATAAGCAA